GCACCCCACCACGACCTTCATGATCCACCGCAATCCATACCCTCCCTACACCAAGTTCAAACACAACCTGGGCAACGACCCGTTCGACCCGAACGAACCGAATCCACAGCTCACCAATGCCATCGACTCCTCCCTGTGGGAACTGGAGACCTGCCAGTCACACTACCACCCCACAGTAGCGAGCATTGCCCGGATCATATCAGAGCAGTTCACAAAACAGCAGTACAACCTCGAGGATTTTCTCGACCACGGTTACGCTACCCTGCTCGAGAGTGAATTCAAGAAGAAGGAGAAGAAACCACCTGTGGTGGAGTACAAGATCCCCAAGAAGGTTTTCGCTGCCGCCGAGGACAGCGAAGACGACGCTACCGGGCAAGAGGACGGTATGGACAAGTTGCTGGACATGTGGGACTTTGAGTGTTAGGATTTCCTTTGTGGGCAAGAGGGTAACGATTCATGGCAAAGACGAATATAGACATAGAATATAGATATAGATCAAATAGACGGGGGCTATCTGTGATGCGTTCAAGCGATGGAATTTTGACAATGACACTCCGTGAAGGAGAGGGTTGGACTAGACATACATACAATTCATAAAATGCGGCGATGTTTCTGGTGCAATTGCAATTGTAATTGCGAATGGGTATCTCAACAAACATTTATTGCTCGGTATGGCTTTCCCAAGCTTGAAAAGACTGGCCTTCTTGTGCCTGTGCTGTCGCCACAGAAGTAAAACACTCTTGTTCAGGACAGGGACGGGACGCGAACCATTCCCGGCAATGTTACGCGCTGTTTCTGGCAGCAGGGTGGCGATGAGCACAAGGCTGAGAGCGCCAGAAATGGCCAGAAATCAGAAAATCCAGCGCCATCTCGCCCTCTCAGCAAGGACGCCGCCGAGCACAGGTCCAAGACCTGGTGCAACGTTTGGGCCGCACCCTAGAATGCCCATATATGATGCACGCTCGGAAGACTCTGTGATCTGAGCATCATTGTAAGATCCCCTTCGTCGTGACAGAGACGGTGGCAATGGTCAAATTGACCTTGGACAGAGCAGTGTGCAGTTCCTTCGCCATCGCCGTAAGAGCAGGATAGTAGACGAAGCTGCTCAGTGGAGAGAAGCAAGAGCCCAAACGCCGCAAGCAACACGATGTTCTGGCTCGCTGCGACAGGAGTATCGCGCGGAGAGATGTGAAAGAGGTAGAATCGTCTCTCTCCAAGCTGTCACATTAGAGACAGAAGATGAATTGATGGCATTGCGAACAGCCAAGGAAGCTGCCATTGTACATAACACCGAGCACAGGTACAGAATGCAAAGAATCTGCACTAAACACATCAGGTAGCAGAGAGTGAACCCCACATCGTTCAGTATCTACATAATTCCAAATCCAAGTATACTCACTCCTACAGTGCTTGGCGAGCCTCATGAGCCTTGCTATCGACCCGAACGACCCCAAAATCTATGACATTCGAGAATGCTTCTACAGCGTATGGAAGCCCAATGTCCTTGTGCGTATGTGGGAGACAGAGGACCGGTCTAGCGACACCATGAGCAATGGGGAAAGCACACTGCTTTCTCACGTTTCCGAGACCAGCTTCGAGACGCTACAACCTATCACAGCACTTGAAGTAGCGCCTGAAGCACTGAGAAGCTCTGCGTGATCCGATACATCCTAGCCTTGATTTCCATCCAGACAGAGCGTCTCTGAGCGCTCGAGGCAGCAACGCATCCCATAAGAAACATTGTCCGCATCTAATGGGTCCATCAAACAGCTATAAGGTCAGCTGGACACAACACAGTCAGAACATGCTCCTGGTACTCCTTTTTTCACTTGTGCCGTACAGCATAACAAGGCCTAGTGTATCAAATCTGATGGCTGCGAATATTATGTAGAGGCAGAGAAGAAGGCCAAAGGGTATAACAGCAATGACAACCAAAGATCCGAACGAGGCCGAAGAAACACGGCCCGGTTCCCCTTCCAACAGGGGTTTCCCCCTAAAACTGCTTCTTATGCGCCCTCTTCTTCTCTCTATGTCTCTGCAACTGCCTCTCCACTCCGGCGTCCAAATCCAAGAGGTCCTTGCCACCGAAACCTGGGAGAGTCGCTGACGCGTCTAGACCGTCATCTTGTCCGACGTGGTGCTTCTTCTCCAGCGCCCGGACCTTTTTTCGTCCAGCCACGGGTGCCGAGCTGTTCATGACCTGCGCGATCAGATAGCCGTTGATGGTGTTGCCCGAGTTCTCCAGCGCGTAGAGCGGGCATTTGCCGTCGTCGGCCGAGCAGTACACGGTTGGGGGGCAGCAGATGCCGACGGAGTTGGGACACGTCTGGCACAGCGGGTTGGCGTCGGTGGAATTACCTAGGGGAAAGCTCGAGTTCGAGCTCGACGGGGAGGAATAGCGTGACGTGGTGTTGGAATAGGTCATGCCGTCGCCCGCGCCGTCCCCTCTCGTCACGTTGGACGAGTCAGCACCGGCGAGGCGGAGCATGCCGTTTGTGCCCTCGGCGTCGTCTGGGCAGTAGGAAAGATACACGCTGACGGTCCTGATGGGTCGGGAAGTCGGTGTGGGCGTAGTCGAGGGCGAGACTATCACGGGAGAGCCCGTCGTCGCCACGAAAGTGCCGGAGCCGGTCTGCAAGCAAGAAAAGACCACAGAATCAGCGTTCGAAGGACCTTTTCAAATATATGACACTAGTGTGAGACGTACCAAAATCCCGCAACCGCTGAAGTTGCCACTGCCCGTGACCGTGCCCGATGTGACCACCGAGATCAGTCCTCCACCAAATGCTGGCCAAACGGTCCCTGTGCCAGTCAATGTGCCGGAGCCGGAGCCGGAACCACCTGTGCGGCGCGCGAGTCAGCCTGGTGATTACGAGCCACTATCGACAGAGAATACACATACAGCCTGTGATTTCGGCGGATCCGCTAAACGTGCCTGACGTGGCGATGATGGTGCCGCAGCCAGAGACGTTGCTTGCAAAGCCTGGATTGGAGAGAGAGGGACAGAGAGAGAGACAGTTAGTCAGAAACTTGCAACCTTTGAAACCTCGGTGTACGTACCAGTGGCGGTCCCTGAGGTGACAATCGGCGTGCCTCCTAGATACACCGTGCCTGTCCCCACTGTGTTTTTCCAAAGTTAGTTGAACTGTTTCGATCCAATCTGATTAGACCGTAAGAGGAAAATCCCAAAAGAAAAGCACACATACTAACGATCCCACTGCCAGAAGCTTCGCCGCATCCTATGATGGTGTTGGGCACGGTGGTTATGATGACTGAGGTCGACGACGACGTCGAAGAAGTGGACGACGAGCTCGACGCAGTGCCTGTGATGATGGTTAATGTAGATAACGAGGACGATGATGATGATGATGATGGTGATAATGATGTGGATGTCCCACTTCCCCCTGTCGAAGAAACAGTGGCGTCGCCAGAGTTTGTTATTGTGATTGTCGTGCTTGAAATGACAATGATTGACAAGCTGGTGGTGCGGGTTGAGGAACTCAACAGTGGCGTAGAAGTATACAGCTGGCTGGAGGCCGCAGCGGAGCTGGTGGTGGATGTCAACCTCGGCGTCAAGGTGGATGTCGTTGAGACGATCACGGTCGTCCCGCTGATGACGGTGACGGTGGTTCCTACAGATGTAGATGTGCTTCCGCTGATGAGTATCGGCCCTTGGGATCGAGAGGAGGTTCCGCTCGTACTGCTTGGTGTGAGGAGGGAAGATCTGGAAGTTATAGTTGTGGAGCTGGGTGCTGTTGTGGTCGACGTGGTTGTCGATCTAAATACTCCAGTCGACGCCATGAACGATGTGCTGGTGGTTCTGCTCATTGTGCTGTTGGTCCGACAAGAGGCAGGGATCGTGAAACAACACGGCAGGCCGCTCGATGACGAGGTACTGGGTTGGAATACGCCGCTATAGTCTGTGTCGTAACAGGACGCAGTTGTCGTCTGTGGAGGCAAATTAAAGACGCCCTGAGAAGGCCTCGTCAGTCTCTGCAGTTGAGATAAGGATGAATGACCGGAAACAGACTCACATGATATGTGTGGGTTGTGCATGGCAATGTCGATGTAGTTGTGCCGGCGGGAGTAGAGGAGACGCTTTCACCTCCACAGGGAGTGCATGTTGCAATGGGCGGGTCGCCGGAAAAGACTCCTCGCTTGTCGAACACTCCTCTACCCTGCCGGGTCTTGATGAAGTAGTGATGGTAATGGAGGCTGTACATGGTCTGGTGGGTGCCGTTGGCCGCGATCGTCACTGAAGGCGCGACAGCTGTAATCATCGACGGAAGAATCTCGTGGCGGAGATCATAGTCACCCAGCAATTGGTTCGGTCGCGGAGTCGGTTGGTAAAGGGGTTCAACAGGGAGAGTCAAGGAGCCAAAATCAACATAACCATATGCAACATGAAATAGAACACCAGCAAATATGAGAAAGGAGTGGAACGGAGGCATCTTTGAAAGGAAGCTCACAGTCAACGACAACGATTCGGAACAGACATAGTGAGGATTGAATCTTGAGCAGTGTCCATGAAGTTTCATCCCTGGCGCCGCGTTGTGATGAGCACAGACCACCAAGTCGTGGAATGGAATGTTGGCCATGGCGGGCCGTAGGAGGCCGTATGAGATCAGAGAGCGCCCTTTTTAGTACCTTGCCAGGTCTTCATCAACAAAATCTGATATCCCAGAGCTGGGACAGATTCCCAACTCTGTTTCGGCCAGCATAGGAGAAGCCGATGTTGCGTTGGAGCTGTTGTGGTCATGTCAGCGCCATCGAGCAGGGAGCGAGCCATACCATCGATGTAGAGAAACGAAACGGATCGAGAGAAATTGTGTCTGTTTCTCCTTCTTGGGAGTATGCGAGAAAATTGCTAGATATGATATGAATATAAATACAAAGGTCAAGAGCTCAAGCTCTTAGTGACCGTGGTGACCCAAAGGGCAATACTCCCGTTTCTTCCAACAGTGGTCGCTGCTCGGGATGATGAAGTTCCTCCTGTCCTTCTACTCGTCGTCCTCGACCCAGCACCCCTTGAAGTGCTTCAAGCCAGTAGGCATGGAGTCGCCAGCGGAAACAGTCACAGTCACGGAAACAGTAACCGTTTCCGGGCTTTCCCCAGAAGGACCGCCCCAGCCAATGGTATGGGAGGACAGAGGTGCAACAGGGGTGGGCGCGGAAGCCGCGTTGGTTGTCGTTGAGGCTGCCTTCACAACTGTCGCCAAGGTGGTCGACGCGGATGGTAGGGAGAAGAAGCTCGAGGTGGGCAGGACTACCGGTCGAGATTCAGAGCTCCAGGTGCCAGCTGCGCTAGTTGTCGACGAGACGGATTGAACATGTGTTTCTGCAGGGGCGGTAGCCGAGATGAAGATTGTGCTGGAAGCAGAACTGGAGGCAGTCGTCGAGGATGATGTCGGTCCTTCAGGCGCAGAGGCACCGCCCTCGAAGATGTCATCCTGTGGACCTGGCTTGAACCCGTTACGTGCATTGTAAGCCGGCGTTTGTGAGAGTTTCGTCACAACGTTGTTTCCTGTCAGCTGGTTCCACACGATCATTTGCTTTGCTCCTGGGGCGCATTCGGAAGGATCGGTATCGCACATGACGGGTGGTTTGGCCTTTGCGAGGGGAGTTGTGGATGTGGCACCAGTGACCATGCACTTGAAGCCTTGCATATAGATATTGGGCTGTCCACATCCATGAGGCACCCAAAGCCAAGCACAAGTCTGAAAAGAATTTGTTAGCCGCACTCATTCTGATACGATGCAAAAAGAACTCACACATCCGCCTTCAGGGCATGCAGGCATTGCCGCTGGAACCTGGTAGGTTGCTGCTCGTTTCCAGGGAGTGTGCTCAAGAACAGAAAACACAACCAGATCCTCCATCGTGATGGCGGTCAGATCACTCTCGTAGGCAATAGCAAAGGCAGTGCCTTGGGCCATGCTCTGGTTCTGAACGTGCATGTAACCTCCGTCTTGGATACAGCCCTCGCCGATACCGCCACCGTTCCAGTCCTCTGGGTGATCGCCCCCATCTGGCCATTCGGAAGTCTTTGAACCACCCCAGGACAGAGTTGTAAAGGCTTGGTTGTCGGCCAGCTCGACGTCGAAGGAGCCGCCGGCAGGTAGCTCGAGGAACACTCCAGGAGGCGGAGGGACAGCATCACATCCTCGATCGTGTTGAAACCACCATTGTTCCTGAGTAAGGTTGTACAATGGCGAGACGGGGGCATTGGAGTTGGGATTCGGGTTGGCAGGGTCTGTGCCGTTCTCGCAGTACATGCCCTTCGCAAATGCCGCAATATGGGCCTGAGCCATGCCCACCAGGGCCAACCCTGAAAGGATAAATGCTGCAGCCATGTCGTTGGAAAAGAGTTTGGGTTAACAAGGCTGGACGAGTAACTCGAGACAGTATCTGTAGCAGCAGCAGCCGCAGATTTCAAACTTTCGGTTATCGAAACTCGTATCGAGAGTCTGGGCAGCGAAAACGAATGACTGAATAGATTGAGAACGAATGGACGTGCGCACTGCGCCGCTTAAGAAAAAACGAAGGAAAGGCCTCTTTGAGTGCCGGTGATGAGAAGAACAAAGTGCTTGTGGAAGACAAAATACCACAGAAAGAGGGCGAGAAGGGCCATTTTGTACTCAAGGACGCTCCTCCACCTCCTTTGACAGAGACATGCCACACTGAAGCACATGTACCATGGTAAAATGAAGGAAGAATCATATCAGCCCCCCTGCCCACCGAACGTCTCAGACCACAATGACCCTGGTATCGACGACCGTACTGCCAGGGACGCTCAGCCTCTGCTCCGTCCACGCAAATGCTCTCGGGCGAATAACGAGGCTCTCAAGAGCGGGGCGCGAAGGATGATGTTTCTCCCACGAATTTCAATGTTCGGTTTCAGATTTGCGCTAGGCCAGAGATTTCGGCACTGTATCCTATACGCCAACGACTTTTGGCCCCGAACATGACGGAATAGGAAGAGGGGAACCCCAGAGGGTAAGTACTCTCCTTTGTAGCACCGAGTGCTCGTAAACTTTGTGGGACCGGGACGCTTAGTGGCGCCCTCAATCTTGAGCGAGAACCTTCAGAACGAGCCAAAATTGACTCCCTTTGTTAGTGACGTGGTATCTGGGGACAGCCTCGTGGGTGGATTGCATCGATTACTCGTATTCGATTAGGCCCGCCCCCACAGTTTCGCCATTTGCTCGGAGCACGATCCTTGAAGGCGGTTCCAAGGGCACCACTTGGTCTAGGCGTACAACCACTCGCACAACACTTCCCGGTTGGACGATTTTGGGCTTCTTTTTCGTTATTGTGCCCGATGCTTTGTCCAGGACACCGACGAGCTGACTGATTCGACCAGGCACGTGTAAGCGTCCCTTGTGTACGTCGACGCTCATCGGGGTGAGGTGATCGAATGCAAGTATCTTCGCTTTGAATTCGGAAATGTTCCGGATCGGCGACAAGGGGCTGCAGAGGACGTCTCCTGATTTCAGGTGTATGGGGTCTATGTCGGACAGATTGAGGACCACGTTTTGTCCCGCCACTGCCCACTCCTGGGGTTCCTCGTCGACCTCCAAGTTCCTAATCTGGGCATTTTCACCACTTGGCATGATGACCACTTGTTCACCGATCTGGATGGTGCCCGCCTCCAGTCGACCTGACACAGACAGGGGATTCTGCACACCACCTCGAAAGACATCGTTGATAGTCATCCGCAAGGGTTTGTCCAAGGCGTGGGTCGATGGCTCCGCCTTGTCTAGCTCTTCAACCAACGTTGTCCCGGTATACCATGACGACCTCGGATCCGAAGCTCTAACCAGAATGTTTTCACCTTCGAGGCCAGAGCAAGGGACGAATGTCACGTTCTTTGGCTGAAACCCCGCGCTGCTCAAGAAGGCCGTCATCTGTAGACGAATTTCATTGAACCGTTCTTCAGACCATCCCGCGACATCCATCTTGTTCACGGCAACTATGATTCGCTGGACACCAACGGACCTGACCAGGAGAGCGTGTTCTTTGGTCTGTCCCCTCAATCCAGACTCGAAATTTCCCGTGGAGGCGTCGATGACGAGGACTGCAAAATCGGCCTGACTAGCTCCTGCAATCATATTCGGCACGAAATCTCGGTGGCCTGGGGCGTCCAGGATAGTGAAGGAAGTCTTTTCGGTCTCGAACTTATTGGTGGCTATGTCGATGGTCACGCCTCTGGCTCTTTCTTCTGACCCCTGATCTAAAACCCATGCAAAGGCAAATGAGCCCTTACCAATACGCTCCGCTTCTTGTCGATACTTGTCCAGGGTTCTTTGATCGACTGCTTTCAGGTCAAACAGCAGCCTACCCATAAGAGTACTTTTGCCTGCATCGACATGGCCTTGGGCAGTCAGTGTATTCTTACAAAGTAGCCATCGAGGAACTGCTTACCGATAACTACGAAGTTTGCTGCATTTTTCCGGTGACTTCGTCGATATTCTGCGAGCACATTGATATTCTTGCTCTTGATCTTAAGAGTATCTTGGATGGACAGTTCGCGTATGCCTCCAGTCACAGCTGATTTTGCTCGATTCGTATCCTTGGCTTTGGAAGCGGCCGACGTGGCGGCTGCAACAACGAGGAGGTTAGCCCCTTTTCATTTCTATTGGCCTCATCCCCGACCTTTTGCAGTCTGCGCCTTGGTCACAATGTCGTCCGGACTCGGTTCTGCAAAGTTGAAAGATTTAGCATTTGCACCAACGGAGAAAAAGTCGCTTGATGATGGGTGACGTGTATCAGCGTCGCGGCTGGTCATGATGCTGGCAAAAGCCGAGGGTCCAGCGCGGAGATGCTGGTTGACCGCAAGCGAGACATCTGATATCCCTTCTGAAGTTGTCTGCTTGTTTTCTGCTCGGATGCTCTGGTCATTCCTGTGATCCATTTTTGGTGACTGAAGCCGAGGGTATGTTGGCGAGGAGTGCGACGCATCGGTTGCTTCAGACATTGCTTTGGTCGACCGACTGATCCGAAGTTTATTCAAGCTAGAGAGGTAATCCTGCTGAGATCCAGTGTCGGCCATGCTCTGAGCGTCAAGTTTCTCACTTTCTTTCTGCCTGCGCTTCGCGGCAAGTGCCGCTAGTTTAGACATCTTGCCAGTATTTGAAGTACCACCCAGCAGGCGACCGCGGGGATAGAGCGGTGTGATTATGATCTCTGCCCTCCGGTGTTCAGGAACATGCAACCATGGGCAGTCTCTGAAGAAATCCGTCGTAGAGAACGAGTTAGAGCAAGTGAAGAAGCCGGCAGGATCTTCGTGCTTATCAGTATCCTTTTCGAGATGGTGTGGTCCTAAGCTATCATGACCACCACGACGTGAAAGCGACGTAGGCGAGAGGCAAAGAAGAGCAAGCTTACTCTTTGAGCCCGGCGTCTGCTTCTTTGGGGCAACGGGAGGCTTCTGTTTGTCTATGGGGGTGAGTTTTCCACAAGTTTGAGCAGTGCGCAAAATCTCTCACTTTTCAGATACGTGACGGATTTTTCAACGTCATAATAATAATGCCACAGTGCCTCCTGGATGTCGTTGTCTGTGATGGGACATCCTGGCCCTAGAGCTGCACGCACTTTTCTGGTACCCTGCTGCATCTGTTCCTTGTCCTCCGCAGAAAGCTCGTTGTCGCCGCCATCATCTCCATACTGGTCTTCATAGTCCTCGAAATCATCATAGTCGTCTTCATCCAACGCCAAAGACTTTACTCGACGGTTCGACATAATGATGACTGATGGAACAGGCGGGAAGGTTTATTATGGAGATGAGAGCATGAGGTCGACACCGCGGGTTGGTCTTTTGAGGTAGTGAATGGAAATCTGTGGCCAGATATCCGAGTTAGTCGCGGGGTGGAGATTATTAACTGACAAGGGATTGATCGATCAACCAGGGCGCCAGGGCTCGAGTTCAATGATGTCGTCCGAGGGTTTTCGTCATGTGAGTATTTCCTGTCTTTACACTTCCGTTCCAACTCTATTTCAGTGTAAAAGGGAAGATTTTAGGTGAACTTGGTCGTGTTAAATAACCGTGTAGGCTCGAGAGAGGAATTGCGACGTCGTGAGTAGGCCCCAAACCATAGAGAGGGGCTATCTGAGCCAATGCTAAGAGCGGCAAGGTGGTGAAACACTGTAACCGAAACTACTTAGACATCATATGTCGTGCCGCTTTAAATAGGCGGATAGGTTTCTATTGACCTGGCCTATGTATACTGCCCTCTCTGGAGGATATGAGAGTAGAGTCTGTCGTATTTACTTTTTCATGTGATTGACTAGGAATGGAGCATTAGAAGGACTCAAGGGCACCCATTGACGAAGGGGAAACTCAAAGGCGCAGGTCGATCTACCCAGTGGTGCCCCAAACAAGGAGCATGTGCGAGTGTCCAAAATCGGTGCACGCTCGTTACCGAGCAGAGGCTGCTTCTATACCCACTTGTACCAAGTACTCCTCCCTCTAAGAACTACTCCGAGTAGTAGAGGCCGTCTTCAGCGTGCCCTTAGTGCTTCGTGGCGCCCCTGATGGGCCAGTGGCTCAGTGTCTGGGAAGAGCGGGGTTCAACAGAATATAGCGGCACGCCCATAATCCTATTTCGGGCTCAACTGCGAAGGTGCGCCGTCGAAACCCTGTTCCTCTCTCTCACGCAATCTCGAGGTGAGGTAAACTCGTGGTCAAGCACAGTCTTCGACTACAAGCGACCAAGGTCAGCATCCGACGAAGGTGCATCATTGAATTCTTGTCTCGACTTCTCCGCGCTCATCTGTCGAAAATGTGAAATCGCCATTGATATACGCGACATGCTTCATCTCGACATCACTGTCATGGTTCGATAGCGCGTCTAGCTTTTAGCAATGTCTTCTGCCAGCATCCATCCGGCTCCAATTGGGCTGGGCCTCTCCCCAACCAAGTCGAACCTCACACAACAGATTGAACAGAGCGAAGGCGAACGCACTCCACGATCCTCCAGACTCTCCACCAGGGGCTCCCCAAAACCACGGTCTCTCTCGGACGCTCCTAAGCCCGTTCTATCTCCATCGCCAGCCTTTCGAGAACCTTTGCGACGAATATCCAAGGATGACTCGGCTATTACAACTCCCACAACACCCTCTCGTCCTCCGATGCATACTCGAGGTCTATCTCTCCATATGCCGCTTAAAGACGCCGCTGGAGCAAGCACAGGTCCCACGATACCACGAATCCCGCTATCGCCAAAACTAGACTCGTCCTATGTCTATGGATCACCCTCGTCCATGCTTCCGAGGAGATCGCGAGGACTCGATTATACAAGAGCATGTACGAATTTACACCATTCTACGCTGGCAGAAGCGTCTCCGGATGCAT